TGTGGTTGGGTTGAGGCAATACTGCTTTGTGTTGAAGCCAACAAACCCGGGAGCAATCGAGACATAAGTTGTGGGCCGGAAAGGCAAGCCAAACTTATGTTGTGGGCTCGGGAGCAAGCCAGACATGTGTTGAGGGTTGGGAAGGCAATCCAGACTTATGTTGTGGGCTCGGGAGCAATCCAGACATGAGTTGTTGGCGATGTGGGCAATCAATACTCGTGTTGTGGGCTCAGGGGTAATCCAGTCCAATGGTTATGAACCCAATATACATGTTGTTATATGTTGTGTGGTGGTATTTTGGGGGAACTCAATAATCTCCGTGCTTACAATTTTATTTCATGGTTTTAGGTACAGCAGATGATTGATGCAAGGTGAATGGGTGATTGTGCACATCATCCTTGGATATTTTGTTGATTGATGATTTTTGTGATACTCTGATTTTGACTACATTAACAATGTTTTTGTATAGTTTATGGATTATTGAAGGGTTTTTAAAAATGAAAATTTTTACTATGATTTTTGGGATGTTACACAAATATTATTGGAAATATAAAAGTTTTGGCCCTCTACTTGAAACAAAAATTCCACATTAGGTGGATTACCGCGTGGATTACCACCGGTGATGAAAATTCATGTTCCTTTTATTAGGGTTTCTATGCATCAAGTACACTATAAACTAGGTAGCGGAACAATCAAAATTATGATATACCTAAGTGCACATGCAACCTATGGATCTATGGTTTCATACTAATTACATCTACCCTAAAAAAACGAAAATACAAAGAAGAATCACATACCTATTTTGCAGGCAAAGACCTTCCTGTTTAAGCTCTCGTGTGTGCCACCTTGTTTGGATGTAAAGGACCCAAACTAGAATCTATCTCTTGGTTTACACCCAATGAACTCAAAAGAGAAGAATTAAAAATAACTAGGAGGGGACAAACTGTAAGGAGGGTTAGTCCACAAAGAGGGAGAAAGAAGTGACGAAAATTCAAGCCTAAGAATGAGCAAGAAAGAATGAATCCATAAGGCCTTATTTATAGCCTTGGATACCTTCTAGGGCTTTATCCTCAAGTATGGATGGGATGGATAACCCTAAGAACGAAATTCCCCTTATCGTAGGGAATTTTCGTCCACCACCCTTCTTTCTAGGGTTCCGGAATATTCATGATTAATCAATTATTAAATAATTTGATATTCAACCATTTTATTAATTAAACTGTTAATTAATTCCCAAATTGTTTTTCTAATTAGTTTCTAATTAATTATCAAACCATAATAATTAATAAACTAATTACTTCTTTATTAATTCTACATAGTTGAGTCGATAAGATTGTGGTAGTGATATGGTTCTTTGGCCTGATAGTTTCACGTTTAAGATTAGTAAGTCCTTTTGGTACTTGTTGCCACATGATATCATGAATTTTGTTCAAAACTTTAAAGATGTCATTTTTTGCTAGATGATACAACTCCTCTTTTATTAGGCTTATCCTAATGATAAAGTACTTGATTACTTTACGGACTACAAACTAAATATAGCCTTAAGTGGTAGTATTTATAAGATTATTGTTAAGTCCATACGAATAGACTCAACTTAGTAATTAGGAAGGTGATTGACAGTATTCAATTTGTATTTGTGGCATGTAGGAATATTCACGAAGGTCCTTTTAATTATTAGTGAGATTTACGCATTGGAAAAAATTTCTCTTTATTGTGAATTTTGATAAAGCTTGTGACTTTCTCAACTCGGTCATTTTACAAATGGGTTTTAGCTCTAAATGGATAAGTTGGATAAGAGGTTGGCTTGCCTTAGCCCTTGCCTCAGTTTTAGTGAATAAATCCCCCACTAAGAAGTTCGCCATCAAAAAAGGAGTTTGACAAGGTGACCCTCTATCGCCTTTCATTTTCATTATACATGGAGAGACTTAATTTGGTAATGAGATCGGCGTGTAAAAAAATGATTTTTGAAAGGGTGAAAATTTTTATATGTGAGTCCGTTGTCCCACACCTGTTTACGCTGACAACACAATCTTTATTGGTGAATCATCTATAAGCAACATTAAGAAAATTGATTGTATCTTTTGTTGCTTCCACATTTCCTTTATTTTGAAAGTAAACATCCACAAACTTTAAGGTGTTCGATATTGGTGCTACTTCTAGAGAGACTACTACGTAGGTGAGAATTCTTTTGTGTGAATCCACGTCGCTTTCGTTCGTTCATTTATTTTGGGGTCCCAATATGGGAGAATATTGCCCTTAAAAAGAATTGGATCCCTATTATCGGTTGTTTTCAAGCCAATCTTCCAATATATAAAACTAAACACCATCATCAAGGCGTTACTAGGTAGTCTTCCTATATATTATTTATTTGTGTTCAAATCCTGAAATGTATTATTGAGAATATTGAATGAATCCATAGAATTTTCCTTTAAGGAGGGACGTGGGAAATGTCAAAAAATGAATTGGTTGCTTGGGTTAAGGTTCTTTCTCCCAAAGAAGAGGGTGGGCTCGATGTCAGTAGTATTTGAGCCTTAAACATTGTTTTACTTGTCAAGTGATTGTGGAGGATCAAGTCCAAAAAGAACCCACTTTGGTTTCGGGTTATACAGGGACTCCATAACCTAACAAGAAAGCCAAAGGAATGTGTGGCGAAAAATTCATACCCCATAGTATGGAATAATACTGCAAAAGTGGCTATATGTCTCAAAAATATTTGCATTAACCCAAAATAAATTTTGTTCTTATATTGTAGGTATAAATGAAGACACTCTCTTCTAGAAAGATGATTGGCTGGGGATGGATTGATTACAAGACAAATTCTCCAATCTATATTCCTTTTGAAAAGTAAAAAAAAAATGCTTGTTTGATGACCAAGTATCCTATGTGGGCTTGGAAGAAAGCACCCAACAATAATTTGGAAGTGCGGGAACTGAATCGAATTTTCCATGGTTGTCCTATTTAGGCTTCAAGATCGTTAGTATCGAAGTAGTTGTTTCTTAGAGCTTTATGGAACTACATTATTGAATGATTGTGTTTAGCAATTGATCCAAAAATAATAGTGATTGGGGAGATACAACAGGTTGATTAAATATGTGCCTCTTAAGGTTGTTTTTTTTGGGAGGATGTTTAGTCATAATCTTGGCAACTACGACTCTCTCAGATAGAGGCATCAACATACCTCCAATTGTGTGAAAGGTGTCCAAATGGGATTAGAACAACATACCATATGTTGATTAGTTGTCTGACTGTGATAAAATTGTGAGGTCGAAATTTTTAATGGCGTGGCATTCCGCTCCATCCCAACTTATCGGTGGGGAACTATTAAAGTTTGGTACTTCATGGGGTCGATGTCCAAAAAAAGAAGAAACCGCTTCAAGCTATTTGCTATATATCACTTCGGTGCATGAAAAAGGCGAGAAACAATAAGGTGTTCAATAGGCAATGCTTCTCTCCCCAAAGTATTATTGATACTATTGTTTCTTTGGTGTTCGTTTGGTTTGAATATAGGGGAAAGAAAGGAGATATTAGTCGGTTAAATTAGTGTAGATCTCTTTTTCTTTGTATCTAATTATTTCATGTTTTGTTTTCTTGCTAGGCGTGTGGATCTTAATAAAATTCTTGTTGATTCTAAAAATGAAAAGTCAGGGGCGGACCCAGGAACTTATGTAACGGGTAGCACCAAAAAAATCTCAATAAAATATAAAAAGATAAAAAAAACATTGAAAATTAAGATTTCATTATATAAAATAAACTAGTATATATATTTACATTTTAAATTGACATCTTCGTTTACTCAATGATATCTTTTTACTCCAAATATTAAAGCCTCTCGTCACAAATACATATCTCCTCCTTGTTGACACATATGTCTCCAAACAAGTAACAATAAAAACAATAAGTTTTGTTCTATCGTATGTTATACTCTAACCAATTAAATTTATCAAACACAATTAAACTTTTGGTTTGGATGATATGATGTAATTCTTGGCCTATCGGTATCGGTCAGATCCAATAAAACCCTACAAATATAATTTAAAATTTAAAATTCACAAATGAAGATCTAAACTTAATTTCACCAACATTATAACAAGTAAACAATTAATTGGCTAATTAGGTTTTCAATTTCAACAACTAACTAAATTAAACTAAAGGATAAAACACTAAAGTGGGAAAAGTAAATATTACTTGTTTCTATTCTTGCTAGTAGGATGATGATTCCGTGAGTGAGTTTGCCAAAACAAAGTCGTCGACTTGTCGTCAAGGAGGGGCAGAGGCGCACAGACGAACCCAAAAAAAAAAGATGCTATTTTTTTCCTTCCTGTGGCAAGTTATTTGTTCAATTGTTTGTGGTAACAAAACAAACACCGGCCAAACTCTCCTCATTTACATTAGTTGGGCTATTTACATTACTTAGGCTAAGGTATTTACCGATAATATATGGGCTCATTAGACTAAGTTGCATCATCACATTTATTTATATGCATGGTATGTAAAAAAAAATAATAATACTTCTATTAAATAGTTCGGGGATAGCACGCGCTACCCCTACCAACCAGGTAAGTCCGTCACTACGATAAGTAGGGTTCCATGATGTATTGAGATCTATAAAGTTTAATGAATTGTCATGTCATCATTATACTTTTTATTTAACTCTATCATTTTTGTCCTATAATGCATTGGATTCTACAAAGTTCCACGACATGCTTTAAAAAAGAACTTATTAGCAAACATGAATTTTTACATTTATTTTAAAAAGTTTCATTTTTTCCATTGAAGAATTCTATGGTCATTAAACTCCTAAACTTCAAGGTGATAGATTGAGTTTAATAATTTAAATGTCAACCAAGTGATTCATCTAATTTAATTCTTTTATTAAATTATGCATTGTGGATGTTCTATCGTGTGAAATGAATTTAATCAATCTAACAAGATAAAGTTATATATAAAAAGAAAAATTATATTGTATCATTAATAATATATTTCAAAACAACAACATTAAATCTCAAGAAAAACCAACAATATATGAGGATAAACAAACGGAGAATAAAGAAAAATAAACATTCGCCATGACAAACGTCACATGTTTAAAGAGAAAAGGCAGATAACACGACCAAGGCCATGAGAATGACCACAGATAGAAAAGAAGCCACCACAGCCCCGCTAATTTTCTGGCAAAAATCGTTAAACTGTTGACAGATTGCAGGCCAATTTGCATCTGAGTTGCCATTATGAGCTAAGTAAACTATGGATGCTGCCCCACCAGCCGCTGATGTTGTCAAAGCAACCATAACCTGAGATTGAAACACAAGAGATTGCAAATAAAACCAAATGTAAATGTACAAATTATTTAGTTATTGAGATCATTTTTAAATGGATCTTACCGTGTCAAAGAACATGAGGATAACCCTCGGCTTGGTTGCATTTGGGCGCAAAATACACACGATGGAGATGGGAATCGTGAGGACTAGGTAACTTGCTGTAATGGCATTTGCAATCAAGAAAAACCTGTTTAATGTCACAAAAATCAGTTACATAGTTAATATCAATGTTATAAAAAACGTTAACCATAGTCATATACGCAAAATAGATCAAATAGAAAAATATAAAAATTTAGTTACATACAAAGAAATGGTTCAAACGGATCAAAAGTTGTCTAAAAATATTAAATCTATTTACAACCCTCTCAACGATCATTTTTATAGAAGTTAGATTATTGTTTTAACAAGAAGTGTCAATGGGAATGCAACCCCATCATCAGCCGATACAATCCATTTTAGAAATGCACTAAAAAGTACCCGTTTTAATATTAATTATTATTTTTATTGTATAATATAAACGTATAAGAAACATAATCTATTTGACCTCTAGAAGTCAAACTATATCTCTGTTTATGCATGAGTACAGGGTATATATATGACTTACGTAAAAGCTGGCAAATCATCGTAACTGGCTTTGAACTGAAAGAACTGAGTGAAGAAAGGTAGAGTCTGATCTGTGGAGCCCATGGCTATGGCTGCTCCTAAAGCCGTAGCAACACCGGCTATCCTTAGAACCACATCAAACACTGCTAAACCTCTCCGGTATCCACCTTTTGTTGCCGCCGGTTTAACCACCACCGGTACTGCTTTACTACTGCTCGAACCACCTGGAGGAGCTGCCAGAAGTGGTGCTTTCCCCTTCCTTTCTTTTGGTGTTTCCACAATGTTAACCGCAGATGTTTCACCTTCCATCTTATCTTCTAGAGAGAGAGAGAGATGAGAGAGATAGAGATACCTGTGGATATATACGAATGTATGTATATGTATATGCAGGGAGAGAGATGAAGATATAGGGAAATAGTAGCTAGGTGGCTTATATAGAGAGAATAACAATGAACGTTGGGAGCTGGTGAAAGACGTTGTGAGAAAAGTGTTATGAAGTTGATGGAGGAATGATCAAGAGTTGTTGGTAGTTTTGCAAAAAGTGTTATTGATTCGGAATATATTTCATCTCTAATGGGTCAAATGAGTCGAATAAAAAATGTCTAAAAACAGTAGATCAAAAGTCTTTTAAGTGGTATTGTTTTAATATATACAACTTATTAGTTATTATAACAAATATAAATTTTTAATTATATTTGACATGTTACTTATTGAAAAAGTTAAAGTAATAAAAATTTAATAAACAAATAGCTATTGGTCCATTCGACATATCTCGATCAACTTCAAGATTACTCCTTTTAATTATCTCATTAACCTAATTATTATTATTATGTCATTAGACTCTCATATAAGATTAAACGAGTCGTTAAAAGGAAAAATAAATTCGTTGACATCACAACTTCAAGGAAACAATAGTAAACAAAAATTGATTAATGAGGAAGTGTCACTTGATCCACATAACTTCTCTCTTTTGACCTTAGAAAATAAAAAGTGACACACCTAACTAATAAATCATGTTTTTTAATGGTAGAAAAGCATCTTTGACAACAAGAAATTTTCATTTATTTATAAAATAAACGACCAGCTAATTTTTTTTTAAAGAATTCTGATGAAAAAAAGAAGAAGAATAAAACATGATTTTCATAATAAATTACTTTATTGCTAACTAACCAAAATATATTTTGCATAACAATATTAATCAACTAAACAACTTTCTTTCCCCTACTCCACTAATCTAAATTATGGTACTACGAACCCCTTTTTGTTAATAAAATTTCCATACTTCATCGAGTCAATTTTCTATACAATGGTCAACCACCTCTCGTATATTGTGAATTGGCAAATACCTAAATGGTCTTTGGAGCCAAAAGACATTTGTACCCACATGCGTGATGCGACACATAAAGAAATGGTAGATAAAATTAACAATACATAAACGAAATTGAATTGGGCTTATAACTCAATTCAAACGTATGGTTTGATTTTGTTTAGGATTTCGTCATCAATCAATTCAAAATGACTGGTATATCTTTAGGACGTATCCAACATCATATTTGATGTTAAAATCTTTTTTAGCTCAAAAAATAATGTAAATCTTCTCCTACCCAACATAATTTTTTATATTAAATTTAGTGTTAAGAAGATTGATGTATCAAATTTAGTGTAATACTATTTATAACACAATATTGCATGATCACAAACACAAACACAACCAAAAGGAAATACAAAAACTTCAAGTTAAACTGTGAAAAAATAATGCTTTTATTCATCAATAAATGTGTATTGATGTAAGGACACAATCATATCTCTAAATATTATTAAAAAAGAACCCTTAATTCACCAATGAAGCAATCAGGGCCCTTGATTGTATCTCAATCATATGATTTCCACCTTTAGATCAAATTGATGACATCATCTTCTCCAAATAGAATTCAAACATTTAATTATGGAATCTTTAAATTTAGCAATTACATTTCAAACACAATTACATTTAATTATAGAATCTTTAATTATAGAATCTATTCATACTTTCTAAAATATATTTCACAATTCGAGCATAATTACATTTAATTATAGAATCTTTAAAATCAGAAATTATGTTATCAATTGAAGCATATCATTCTATTTATATATGAAGTATCAGTTTCTCCATAAATCTGGCCAGAAACATGAATAGACGCCTATTTTTCTCCTTTATTTTTTTTCTCTTAACCCATAATTCCCTAATCCTCTTCTTCTTCATGTCGATGGTTGTGCTTCAATTGATGTTTTGTGTGTTTATAACAGAATGTAGCACCATAAGGTGGTTCCTTTTTGCTCATGTAATCTTAGAATTTGTGTGTTGCCTCTTCCTTGCATCTCCAATTATCACACCTTTGTTTTGGCTTCAAACAAATCTCTACAAAATAAAGAAAGCATCTCCTTCAAGACATTTTTTTGAAAATATATGTCATCATTAACCCTAATTAATATTGTTCATAGTTTAACTCCCTTATTTATAGTTTTTGGCTTCAAAATTCAAACATGTTTAATTTTTTTCTTTTTAAAAAGCTCATTAAATAAGCATATCAATAATTATGTTATCTTTAATATATATTAAAACAAAAATCTTATGACATCATCTTAAACAATTTGGGTCATTGATTGTATTTCAATCCTAAGTTTTTCATGCTTAGATCAAATTGCTGACATCATCTTCCCAAATGGAATGTATTTAATTCCAATAAAAATTTTCCAATTATCAAACAAAATTAACTTAAATCCATTGAAATGGAATGTATTTAATTCTAATAAAAACTTCCCATATTTTAAATCTTGAATTTCCAGTTATAAAGATTTTAAAATGGTCAACTTTAAAAACATATTACTAAAAACCATTTCAATTAAGGCATTAAATATCAACCATTAATATAAATCCATTTATATTAGCAAATCATTAGTATAAAATCCATTTTTATTAGGAAACCATTAATACCAAAAAATCATATTCAAATTATCACATACATATACGATTCATCATTGAATCCGCGGCTCACACTTATTTTCGGTCATTGTTTTTCTTCAAACCTTCTCCTACAACATCATTCTTATTGCTTATAACTTTGATCATCATTCTCTGCTTCAAACTTTCGTTGTTGTGCACTAGAAGGTTGGTACCTTCTTTCGCTTTTCTATATTTTTTTCGATTATTTTTTTGTTCCTGTATCAAATATATGTATTCATATATTTCGATTTTCTTTGTCACAACTTACATGAAATTGATTAACAACTTTTCTGAAACTTTTCAAATAAATAGGAAAAGCTATTATGTACCTTTAATCCAGAAAAAAAACAATGTACTTTGATGGAAACCAGTTAAAACATAATATAGCAAAGTACTTTGATAGAATGACAAATGCACCCTACCCATTTTCCTGTTCATGGTAATCAATTTTTTTGTGTATTCGTTTAGCATGATACTTCCGTTTTTTTATCCGAAGGGTAAATCATTAATTTAGTATGTATAATGTTCATCAGAAGTGTAAATCGCTAATTTAATTTAAACATTGATCAAATCGTGAGCCGCTGCTATTTATGTTTGTTTGATTATCTCAACCTGATTATTGTTTTTGATTTTATATAATATATTAAATTGTTGGCTGAATTACAGGGATTGCAATCTTGATATCTAACTTAAATAATTTGTTAAGATAAATATATGGTAATACTGAATAGAAAATAGAGGATAAGGGTATAATAGGAATAAAGAGATATTTTTTAGTGTTTGAATGTAAATTAATATCCTAATATGATGGTTGCATTACAACATTTCTAACTTTAAATTAAAATCATAACTAAAGGTTATTGATATTGTTAGATGAATTTTTTTTTAAATGTTAAGTATGATTTTAAAGTTTAAGGTGAAAAGGTAATTTTATTTGAGATAGAATAAAGAAGGAAGATTCGAATTTACCTTTTGAAGGTATCAATAAACTCCTAAATTTATGTGATTTATTTTAATTTGATTACAAATTAGATGCAGGAAACCTTTAAGTAAGGAAAAATAAGGGCAAAAGAGTAATTCAACTTAGGAAACTAGAAAAACATTGGGCCGGAAAAGAAATTCAACAATAGATATTGATATGACACGTATACTAAAATGATTTTTTAGCATGATACTTCCATTTTTTATCCGAAGGCTAAATCATTAATTTAGCATGGACTATGTTCATCAGAAGGGTAAATCGGTAATTTAATTTAAAAATGGATCAAATTGGTTGTTGTTACTATTTCTGTTTGTTTGACTATCTCAACTTGGTTAATGTTTCTGACTTTAATGTCGAATATAATAACTTCATATTAAACCATTTTTAGGAATGTACGTGTAAAGTACATTGTTATAACATTTTTAACAGTAATCTGTTGTGATTTTTCCGTGTGGTAAATGTCTTTTAATTTATTTTTTATTCACTATTAAGGTGATGGATTTTATAAACAATTTAATCCAGAAAGGGTTAAACTATAGTTATTCTAATTTGTATATGTTTCTGTATAGTAAATACAACATTTCAAAGATTGTTTTCTATGACTATAAAAATTATGTTTCTATTTTTTAAATCTCATAAAACATCGCATAAGGTTTTTTTGGCTTAACATATTACATCATTAAGTAAAAAAAACAACAATGTATAACTTTTCATATTAAATGCTTAACCTAATAACTTGTACTCGATCCTCAACAACCTCTATAAACTGCAATAACTATGTTGTTTTTTTTACAAATTATAGCAACATACTTACCATGAAAAAAGAACTTTTAATTTAAACTACAACTTAGTTTTTCATCGGTAACAACAATATACAACACTTAATAAACATTCTTGCCGACATATTAATACATGAACTATATCAAAAGTAGGCTAAGACGTTAGCATCTAAATTAAGAATGATCTTATTTCCTTAAATATAAGATTTACGGTATTATAGACAAATTTTTTATTTGATTCTTAAATTTTCTATGTGGTCGTTTTTATATGTTAGAATCAAACTGCATAATTACAATTAACATTTTTTTTATTAAACTTTGTATGTAGGTATGAAACAACAATAAGTATATTTTTGAAGGAACATTGTTCAAAATAATTTGCATAATCTAAATACATGTTAATTTAGTTCATTTCATATACTTTCCTATAACATTGGATTTTTTTGCCATGTTACATTCAAAAGATGGGTTATTAGAACATGCACCTTAGGTGTTTGACGAAATGTGTCAAAGAATCTAACACAAGTTCTCTACGCTCACCTCACAACTAGGTATAAATTTTGTTTTTGTTTTTTTTTTTCTAGATTTTTAGCATCATGTGTTTTTGATGTTTGCAGCTTTGTAGTGTTACGTGTTTTTTTTTGTCTCGTCCTTAGGTTTTTCTATCTCTGATAGGGCTTCATTTTATTATTATTATTGTAAACTATCGATTCAATCTATTGCACTTTGTTATGACTTTTATCAGCATGATAAGATTCTAATAAATTGTTAATTTCTTGATCTTTTAGAAAAAGATGTTCTAACTGGCTTACCATCTACTACTGTGGTATTCTATTTTGTTGATTAAGTGATCTATGATTTGGCTATGATGGTTTTTACAGATTATGTTTGGACTGATAATTGTTCCTGTCATCAAAAAATACATCCAACGAAAAGTGAAAGACAGTTTTTTAAATTAATACCCTCATCTAACTTTAAAGGATATTTTTTTTCATCTTTGATGACATGTAACAGAGTTTTGGCTAAAATTTCAATTTGTCGGCATATAACATGTTATGACTTAAATACTGATATTATATATTTGGGCAATCAGGTTTTCTTCGGTTCTTAAATTATTTTGCAGAAAGTTGTCCAATTTGGTATTATTGATCTCACAAAAAGCAAGTCTCATGTATCTTTTAGCATATCCATTATGTTTAATAGTAACTCAATAGTTTCTTGTTAATATTTTTTTTTAAATGTTAAATCTTGATTTAATGAATGCAAGTAAGCAGGTAGTAAAGGTGCAAGGTATTAAATATGGGACGATCATGGCTATGTCAAGCCAAAATAAAATTCTAAAGTAACAAATGTTAAATTTAATAGACAAGCACTTGTAATGCAGAATACATATTATATTTCCGAAATAAATAACCAAAAACTAACCTCATTCCCAAATAAATTACATTTGAACTAACATCAATAAATTAATATTATAGTGTTTTGATTTTTAATTATACATTATAGAGAGTCGGTTAATATATAGTCAGTATTTTTATATTCGTATCGTTTTTTGAACTACAAAAACTCTATTCAAATAATAAAAATGAAATGGAACATATACGATGGTAATAATGCAAAAATAACCTTCAAATTTGGTCTGATACAAAAAAGTAGTCTAAAACTTATTTCTAAAAGCAACAAGAAATAACAACGATTTCAAAAAGAAATGAGAAATTGCAACGAACTTTTCAAAACTATCAAGAATGTATAATATAGGATGATAATAATGCTAGAAAAACACCGAGTTTGGTCTCATGTGAAAAAAGTAATTTTATATGAAAGTAGGATTGTAGTAATACTAAAAGAACATGTATGTTTATTATCTGATACAAAAATGGTCGAAATATACTTCTAAATCGGTAAGAAATATCAATGAACTTTTAATTCATCTTGTATAACCATTTAATAGCTATATGTAAAAGATATAAATACTCAGCAGTTAAGACCATCGACCTTACTCAAACGTCCGCATACGTCTTGAAGTAAGCATTCATTTTTCCATTATTTTATCATTATCATAAAATAAAAATAGATATCATCATGTGTTTAAATTGTTTAATTCGTCTCATAATAACAAGTAAGTTGTGTGCCAATTATGTATTCTGACATTTTCAATGAGTCTCGGACAATATCTAAATCGAGCAAACATACATGTTTTTATATTTATTTGTTAGAGTTTCTTTATATTTAATATTGTGTGGGGTTTATGTGGTTCCTTTCGAATAAACATAAATAAGTTGCTATTTTTTGAAATAAACAATTCTATTTTGCAATATAACCACGAAATAACAATGTATTATGAAAGTACATTGTTAATGTTGGATTATACTTGCGTAGACCCGTTTTCGCGCATTGTTAGCTATATATAGTTGTTTCCCATGTCACAAGTAAAAAAGGTTTGAAGGTACTTTGTGACGAGCAATGTCATTCAACTAATAAAAAAAAAATATTGTCTACGAAGAGGTCCTTCAACGACTATATATATTTACCAACTTCAGTATATTTTCTACACATTTCAATAATACCAATAACCCTGATTTTCTTATAATTATTTTGCAATATCTATATACAATTATATTTTCTTTATGCGTTTCCCGCGTTTAACGCGGGTCATAATCTAGTTACAACATTAAAGAACAGGCAGGAAAGAAGACCCCATAAGTATCGGCAATATTGCGAAGCTATTGGTAGTTTGGTGACAATATAAACCGATTAATGTATGTGGTTTGAACAGTGTTGTAAAACTCGTCGAGTTGGCCAATTATTCGACCGAGTACTCCATACTCGACCCCTTACCGAAGCGAGTTACAGAATCCAAGTACTTCTCGATCAGTCCTTACTGAAGCGAGTTAAAATCATGTGTGTGTTATGAAATTCGGCCAATTCGGTCATTAATATGTATAATATACTTAATGATTTATTATTTAACACACACATGTGATTATTACTACATATAGATATTAAATTTTTCAGTTTTTGTTTATTCACATGTATCTAATTTTATTATATATTTCAATCAACTTATGATTTTGACATATATAATTTCCTTAAAAATATTTCAACATGAATTATCACATCCGAAAACTCCCCAAACTCCCCGAGTACTCGCTAGTCGCTACTCGACAGTTGACCGAACAGGTACCGAGTTCTATAACCTTGGGTTTGAAGGATCTAGCAGTAGTCAAGACAACTTTCAAAACATAGGTTTCTTGCATGGTTTCTCTATTATTGCATTTTGTTTCAAATTAGATCAAAACTTCACCATTTACACATAATTTTGTTACAATTGATTATCCAACTTAGATTACTTGATGCCATAAGAAGCAATTTGTTTATTAGCTTATTACAATTTGATATATAACTAATAAGCACTATTGAGATATGTGTACATAATGAAAAAAAAATATGTTTCTGACTTCAAAAAAAAATAGTTTTAACAAGTCATTTTCTTTTACCTTATTTGAAAATGTTTAAATACACATAAAAACCAATTTTCTCATTTAAGCTCTATTGTTTTTAACCGTAAATAAACCACAAATATTGATCATAGCTGCTTTTTTCCTTTTTCATTAACACCACCACACATAAAATTCAACATTTTATCCCTTTCTTTTTTAATCATCTTACAAAATTCAACATTTTATCCCTTTCTTTTTTAGTCGTCTTACACATGTAAGCAAAAATTATCAAACACGAAAACCAAACTTATGAGATTATTGCATTTAGATATTATAATACTACAAACACTTTTTCTCTAAATTTCATTTTTTGAGGTTTAAGCACATATAAACATCTCAAAGTGGTTTCATTTTCTAGAAAAAACAATTATGCCCACAAAACAAAATAAATCAAAGATGTATCTTATAACCATAACTCATTTCAAATCTCTAACATAGCAAACATGACTCTAAATTATAGATAAAGAACAAGAAAACAAAATACCGGTTTTAATGTTTCCAAATGTATCAAAACAAAAATAAACAAAACCCCAACAAAGTTTAAACTTAATACCCACCTTTAAGATCATTGACAACATCATAAGGAATGGGAGTAACAGTCTCTAGAGTAGTTCCTTCAACCATAAACCCTGGTTTGGGTCCCAAAGGTTGCCTTTTAGTACTAATTACCACACCCTTAGCCTTTGCTTCTGCCTTTAAAACATCATTCTTCTTTACCCGATTTTTGAACTCTTCAGTGCACCTTGATGGCATCACATGCTCAATTCGGACATGAATCCTCTTCTTGATGATCCTGTTTCCAACCTGCGGTATATAGCAAACATCTTTCAAGAAACAAAATATCGAAATTGTCATGGAAAAACTCATATACATCACCTACTGATCTTGTTAGCTTCGTTTATGAATAAACACAAAGCTATAGAAAGTAGGAGACAAAGAAACAAAACATCGGAATTTGATTCAATCCCTTGTCTACATACTAAACGCAGCAAAATATTATATACCAAATTCAGAAGCTTTAATACAAATTAAACAACGATTGAAGAAAACATACTAGCTCTTAATCCAATTGCATTTTTGAAATAGCAGCTATCGTATAAGTATTTTTGTAACTAATTCATAAACATTCACTGTCCTGGCTATATAGATTAATGTGTTTAGAGAGACAGAGGGTGAAATTGACCTGCTTGTTCATTTCGACACCAATGGCGCGCTTGGTGACGTTCCATACCTGGCCGGTACGGCCGTGGTAGAACTTATGAGGCATACCTTTGTGAATGGCGCCGTTCACCTTGACATCGACATAATCTCCGACGTGATAAGTTCTGAGATATGTGGAGAGATGAATGGTACCCTTCTTCCTGAATCCTCTTGCGAACAAATCCCTAGTCCTTGACCTCAATCCATGTCCGGCCGGCATCTTTCCGTTCCACTCTCGATCGCAAAATACGATCGGCGGAGAGTATTGAGTGTGTAGGCAAAGAACTCAAAACCCTAGAATCATCGTCTTTTAAAAGAGGGGATGGAAGTTCGTTAGGGTTTCGGATTATCAGGCTTTGTGGTATTGGGCCCTTTGAATTTGAAGAAGAGTTATGTTTGTTGCAAGCCGGTTTTTCTAAGCCTGTAAATTAAAATCATAATTAATTATTTCTTGTTGAAATTGCAATGTTCATTGCGAAATTGAAAAATCTTATTAATTTTGTAAGTGCTTTTTTAACAAAATAACCAGCTTCATGAATTTTTGGCAAAATAAACATGTAGTCCGGAATGTTTTATTTCATACCCATTTTAAATTGGGTTACCCTTCTTATTCATTAGATTCGTTACTCTGGAACGAGCATTTCAAATTACACCTTATTTTCTATTCGTCATTTTGGAGTTACAGGAACACGCATTTTAGACTGAGGGATTATCACATGATGTCGTCTGATTAGCATATGTTGTTTCCTTTATACATGTGTGGCATCTAATTAGCATCTTTGGTTTGTTATTAGTAGTTTTTGATATGAAATAATTCATGTTAACTAGATTTTGTTGGTTATTTAGGGTTTTTGTATGATTAATATTAGTATAACCAACAATTACTACAAGTGTAATCCTTAAAAATCGGTTCCGCAATGCACTATGGAATACAACGAACAAGTCTGAAATCTGTAGAACTTCTTCGAAAGGCGTAGAACAATCAAGAACCCGAAATTCGGAACACGTGTTATTTCTACTCCGGAGCAATGTGTTAATATATATATATATATATATATATATATATATATATATATATATATATATATATATATATATATATATTGTAGCATGATGGTATATGCGAAGCGGTTTGTCATGACAATATGGAAACCTGAATTAGGTAAGAAAATAATGGTTAGGTTATAGGCTACCCCATGGGCGTCGTTTTTAGGTCGTCATGTTTTGGTTTGTGGATACATATGTCGGTGGGTGTACAATGTCACCCATTACTATGTCGTTACTTGTTATGTAATGTGACATCCCCAATTTCACGGCCATAAAATACCGATTTGTTTATGCTTTATTTGAAAATCAGAGTATACTTTTGAAGAAATATGTTGTGGAATTTGTTTCCAAAAATATGATAAGTAAATTATCAAAGCATTCCCGAAGGAATGGGTTTTCATTATATTAAAAACATTGGGATGTCATTGTCAATACAGTACATAAGCATAAACAGAAATAGTACAGGCCTTACAACATCTATTATTCTAATGGCCTATAATCCATAGATCTCTCATCAGATCAACACTCCTATGCTCTTTTGCCACTACCTGTAATGCAAGAAACTGAATGGGTCAGGCTTGGGAGCCTGGTGAGCACATAGGGTTTTCAACCCACAATAATTAAGTTTATTAATTTCATAAAATCAATCAACCCGATTACTCGTTCTTGTTATCCTCACTTTTCTGTCCCTAAAACATCTAAATTAAGGGACCTAGCCTAAGGATTTTCATCAGAATGACAACACTACTTAGGGAATTCCTCAACAATACATGTCAATAAGGCAACCATGAGGGGGATGGAGTACACCTGGTGAACACGTAGTTCATTGGATTGAGAGCCTTAGGTCTCGTACTGTTATTCTTATTGGCATGTTTGGGTGTTAGTGCATTGTTGGGAGTCGGGAAATTTAGTGACCAGCTGGTTTGGATAATGTGGACAACAAAAGGTTGTTGGGAGTATTAATTACGCATCAAAAGTCTCCTGCTGAATGTTTGCATTATGAATCTCGTTGTTCCTATGGGATGTTCATTAGGAGTTGGTTACCAATGTTGGGTACTGGTTCTAAAATCTTGAGTCATGAAGTTCGTTGTTGATGCCTCAAGTGATTTGTCAGGTGGATGTGCACCTCAGTTGGTAAGAGATTTAGATGCAACGTGAGAATCTTAGATGGACCATCATTATGCTCGTGGGAGCAGTGGGTTGGTGATGAGTTGTCAGGAAGTCAAGTGTGTATTTATGGTTTTGGACACAACTCCCAAATTTGGGATTTGTTGAAATTCACGATCGGGATGTTTTGAGTATTCTTTCCATATGGATTGGTGACGTTCCTAGTCCAAGAAGTAGGGGTAGGTACGACGAATAAATGATCATTAGACTTAGGGTATGATTTTTGGAGTTTAAACTGATGGGTTTCCGGGTCCGAGAAGTATATTGATGGAGTTGGGTAGTGGTTGTAGTGTGACATCCCCATTTTCACGGCCAGAAAAGACCGATTTTGTTTATGCTTTGTTTAAAAATCAGAGTAACATTTTAAATAAAAGTGTTGCGGAATTTGTTCCCAGAAAAACATGATAAATGTGTTATCAAAGCATTTCCGAATAAATTTATTTTTATTCTTTTTAAAACCTTGGGATGTCATTGTCAATACAGAAACATAAGCATAAACAGAACTTACATTCATTTACACTAGTGATCTACATCTCTTTTAAATCTCTCAGTGTAAAGTGGCTTCATATCGACACCTGTGATACAAATAAGCTTGAGTGGGTCAGGTTGGGAAACCTGGTGAGTACATAGGGTTTTCAACCCACAATAATATAATTATTATGTTTAAACATCAAACAATCAGCCCAATTACCCATCCCCATTATATTCCTTACTCTTAAGAATCTACCCTAAGAGTCATCTATCCTGCATTCGTTTATTCCGAAGTCCCTTTCTTCCAGGGTTATAAGACAGGCACTAAGTCCATAGCTGCCAATGCTCATTCGTAAATAAATCCATAGCTACTAAAGTTCATTCATCGGGTACTAAATCCATAGCTACCAGTGTTTATATAATAGGTACTAAGTCCATAGCTACCAACGTTTATCTATTAGGTACTAAGTCCATAGCTACCAACGTTTATCTATCAGGTACTAAGTCCATAGCTATCAACGTTTATTCAATAGGCACTAAGTCCATAGCTGCCAATGTTCACTCATATTATATTTTATCTCTCATCCTTCATCTACCCATGTCATACCCAACATATTTGTAAATATAAAATATGTATACAGTTTAAATCATTTAAAACATGTATAAAATCGTTCATCCAGCATAGATAGCAAGTATACATGTTATATGCACACATAGCACGTAATTTATATAAAATACTTCATATCTATGTGTAAGATGAAAGTAACTATGCACTCACTTGATAAGGTGGTGACTCGGTACTCGGACATCGCTTCGTTTACTTTAAAATAATTTCCTTCGACGAAACCTAGTATTATTACCACTAGATTTTAGTCTAATATTTACAGTGACTAATTATTAGTCTTATTATTATTATTATTATTATTATTATTATTATTATTATTATTATTATTATTATTATTATTATTATTATTATTATATAAGCGTTTAAACAATATTTTCCAACCACTATGTACAGACAGGCCAGACATAAAACACCGGAGGGCAGGATCATTTTGGCATATAACACTTTTGAAATCCAACAACTCAGGCGGCCCTTCAAACCGGATTCCCCGTACCGCGAGTGGTTAAAAAGATATTATAACGACACTTATATAACCCATAATAATAGCTCAAATAATTATTATAAGGTCCTAATAACGTTAGTATATTTAAATAAAAGCTATATTAAAAATTAGGTAGGCGTATCTTACCTACGAGGGGGTTTGGCTAGAAACCGTGCTCTGCAGGGGCAGAACTTTCGAGCCAAAAGCTCTTCTTCTCGGAGTCGTCGAGCGCTCCGGGGCTTTCTTCTAGCGCTAGGGGAGTTTTGAGAGGTTTAGAGAGAGAGAGAGTAGAGAGAGAAGGGTGGAGGTGTGAAGAAATGAGGGTGGAATGGGTTGTGTTTATAGGGTGAAGTATGACTGAAGTTGGTGCCACATGTCACCATCTAGTGGCAAGCCTTGGGGAGAAAGCAATGGTCAAGATTATGCCACGTCACCCCTTTTGCAGCAGCACCCTGCCGACTTCTAAACCCCGTAACTTTCGCATACGAGCTCCGTTTTCGACGTTCTTTATATCCACGCTTAGGTAAAAATAATATCTACAACTTTCATTTTGACTTCGTCGGCTAATTCTTGACCGATCTTAAATTTAATAGTAGGAGGAGATTAGACTGTTAAATGACCGCGAAGAATTCGTAACTCCTTCATACGGACTCCGTTTTCGTCTGTCTTTTTATCGTTGAGTTCCTATTAATGAGATCTTCAACTCTCATTTAGGTTGAGTAGGCCAAAAACCGCTCGAACTAAAATTCGAGTTTCGGGCCGTGCAGTGCTTTGCCAAATCTTAGAAAATTCATAACTACCTCATACGAAGTCAGATTTGGGCGTTCTTTTTTTGTATGTTCTCGGTTTAACGTGTACTACAACTTTTGTTTAGATTTTTAAGGCTAAAAAGTCCTCCATCGTAAATTCACTATTTACGTCTCCCGGTGCCGTGCCGGTTTTGCCGAAAAACTTCGACGAGTCATAACTTCTTCGTTATAACTTGGATTTCGGCATTCTTTATATGTACGGAACCCTTGAGACATATTCTACAACTTGGTTAAGATTATTTATTCTAAAAAATATTTTGTCAAAAAGTCGTTTTTGACCCTATTATCTCTAAATTAACTAGCCCGAATCTACGGGCGTTACATGTAGTTATGAGAGTTTCCAGTTTGAGTGGTTTTCACTGGAGGTTGGGTCATACAGTTACAGAGAGAAAGATAGTTTTTGCAGTTGAGTATTTTTCAAGTTTTGGGTTGTTTGTTGGCAGTTATGGGTTTCCGAGTGGTCTCTCGAGTTTTATCTATAAGATGCCTTGATTTCGAAGTGGTTAAAGGAAGCTTATGGAATGTGTTGGCGTTGTTTTTAGAGATCCTAACCAAGATGGATTTCGAGGACAAAATCCACTTTAAGTGGGGGAGAGTTGTAACATCTTGTTTCGTGAAGTTTCTTATATCGGGATTGTGGACAATAAATGGATCAAGTAAAGGCCTTGGGCTTTAAGGTAATAGGGTTTAGAGCATATTGGATTTTGATAATAGTGGTTATGTGGTCTAAGCCCTTGGTTTTTGTCTTGGAGTCAATAGGTAAAAAGGGAAAAGTGAAGTTTCAGACTTCTTTCATGAATTAAGGATATTAGTTCTTTGTGTTTTAAGTCAAATGCAATTAGATAAGTTATAAAGTTACAAACTTTATTGCATTTCATCTTGGATCTAAGTGTATTTGGTGTTTTGGTCCATTTTAATGAGTTTTGAGTAAGAGTTGAGAATAAAGTTTGCAACTTTATTACTCTCCTAGGACCCAAGAACAATGTATGTTTCAGGTCTGGACTCCACCACCTTTTGATCAATTTAGAATTTTTTTTGGACCTCATGGACTAGGAAAGTTTTGAACTTTTGTCTTCCCTTTCAGCCATGCAAGTTATCTTGGTCATTTATGTCATTTTGGTGTATTAAAGTTTAAATATTGAAAGCTTAAGACATTATATTGGATAAAGTTGGAAACTTTATCCATCTATACATCATGTTGATTCAGATCTGAAGGTTGGATACTTGTACTTAATGGATTTAGCTGAGAAAGATACATTATTGGTTCCTTTGAGACTTAATGACTAGATCTTGGTTGTTTAGACCATCCTAATGGATAAAGTTGGAAACTTTATCCATTATGAAGCTATTTAGGAACTAGATATGAGGTTATCTGCCTTGGTCTGAAGAGATTAAGAACATAATGAAGATTTTGGCCTTATGACCAGAATTCACGATGTGACATAGGACGTGTCACGACGTGACGATGCCCAGAATCGTGATTGTTTTGTCGTTGCATTCTCACGACGTGACCAAGGAATAGTCATGACGTGAAGTTGACTTTGATCGTTGACTTTTTTGACCAGTTTGACTTTTGGTCAAACTTGGATAGAGTTGAGTATTTGACTAAAGATTGGTCTCGGTTTGGTTTTAGGAAGTTTAGGTTGGTTGTTCTGATGCTGTGGTAGCTGTTGTGCTTCAATTGAGTAGTTTGGGTGAGTTTTCCTCATTGTACTCGTGGGTCGAAGGCACCAATGTCGTCCTACTAGGTGATGTATCCTAGTATATAGGATGATGTATGATGGTTATATGTTAGACTGGTAGATCTGTATGATTACATGTACTTGTTGGTTATATGTTTATGTTTATCTGTTGCATATGTCGACATATTGTGGTTGGGTTGAGACGACCATGCTTTGTGCTGAAGGCCAAGATACCCAGGGCGGAACGGATTGTCTGTAGGCCCTTCGAGGCGGTCCAGTCAGACCGAAGGCCCGGAGAGCAGTCCAGATAGGTTGTAGGCCCTGCGACGCGGTCCAGTCATCCTGAAGGCTCATGTATGCATGTTGTTATCTGTTTGGTGGTGTAGGGTACTTTGGTGGAACTCACTAAGCTTTGGCTTACAATTTGATTTCTTGGTTTCAAGTATATCAGATGATCGGGGCAAGGCGAAGGTGCGATTGTGCACATCATCCTTGGATATTTTGTTGATAAATGATTTTGGGAGACTCTGATTTATGACTATGTCTTTTTTGGAAACTATAGATTGAATGACTTATGGATTTGATATGGTTTTAAAAACAAAATTTTATTACTATGATTTTTGGGATGTTACAAGAAATATCATCTTATGGTACATGGAGATTCAAAAAGTCTTACTACAAACAATAAAGAAACTACCCTTAGTTTGAAGATTCGACATTGATCACAAAGGGGGAGAATGTAGAGTCGATGTGTTGTGATATGTTGAACCTTAGGTAGTTATCTTGATTATGAGTGTTTGTAAATAACGAGTAGCCGACAAGACTTCGTTATGTAAGGTATTTACTAGGCACTTTATAGATTCGCAATGTAATGTCGAGTCCTAGTATTTTTTGTATCCGTGAGTATCCTATAAATAGGGTAGGTACCTAAGTGAGTTGTAACTTTTGCACACTTGTACGCATTGAGCTTTTAGTCTCATTGTGATATCACTTGTACTCTCTTCGGATAATAGAGCTGAAACAAGATCTTATTTAGATTTTTCTGTTCTATTAACTCCGATTTACTTTACGATTGATTAAAACACAACTAAACATCTTTTCAATTTCGAACCTTCACCTTCATCGTCTCAGATCTAAGATCGCCGCCTAGGGTTTAAGTACTTATTACTTCCGTTCATAGCTGTGATACAAAGGGAAAACAAACATCATCATCACCACAACCACACTTGTCCTTATTCCACAACCAAACAGTCAACGGAGAAACATGAGATGTTGGTGATGGAGGAGGAGTGGGTAATTGTCGTTGCCTCTTTTTATCCACTTGTCAATGGAGAAACAAGAAATGTGGTGGTGAGCTACGACGGTGATGTCGAGCCACATTTTTGGTGGTGGTATTAACGTTAACAGGTGATGATGTTATTTACTGATGATGATTGTTGGATCGATGGAGAGGAAGAGGGGTGAGAAAGAGAAGAGACTAAGCTGTGAAAAGGGAAGGGGAGGGGTAGGTTAAGTGTAGATATTTATTTTCTTTTTCAATCTCAAAATGATATAAAAATGATAAGTAAATAAAATAAATTTGAAAAAAATATTATTAAGGGTAAAATAGTATTTTTATGCATTTAGGGAGGGACCGAGTGAAAAAAGAATTATATAGGAACAATCTGACTTAATTTTTAAAAATAGAGACTAAAGGCACCTTTTAGGCAGGACAATTTATCCGTCTAATTTACTCTATAATTTTCTAAATAATTTTTTAACTTACAAGTTACAACTTAGTGTATCAATGATGGCGGCTATTCGTACTTTGACTACTTTCCAATTATTTGGTACATGTCGGCTACTTTTGCGTTAGACGATAGGAAGAAGTATATGAATAAATGAGTCTAATTTTCTTTAAAAAAAATGCTTAAAACGGGTAAACATTCGTTGATCAGATTATTTGTTTATTTGTATGTTAGCCTTAAAATGACCATTTGTATTAATTAATTTCATTACAATTAAACAAACATAACATAATTATAAAAATATAACTATCAACTTAATATATGTATATATGCATTATTTATATATAATGTTTTGATCATTTTCTATCAAATTTTCTTAATGAAAAACGATTTTCATTGATGCACTATTTTTGTAAGTCATACATGTAACTTGTAACTGATAATCAATTACGACTTACAATTTCCACAATGAAGAGTATACTCAGAGAGTTGAATGAGGTGGGAAATACAACCGTCATTCAATTAGTAACATGTCATATTAACATTTAATAAATTTTGAGTTTAATGACCATTAAACTATTCTATGAAGCTCATTACATTTTGGATGCCCATAAAATCAGTAAAAACCAAAAAAAATATGGTCGATTTTTAGTTAACTCTACGTAACTTTTATATTAAACATGCAAACATAATATATACTTACTTTAATTACTAGACCACTCAATGTTCAAACATATTTTTACGAGACATGCTATCATGTTAATAGTATTATAGAGGGAAAATGACATATACGTCCTATGAAGTTTCTAGGGTTTACTCTTTTAGTCCCTAAACTATTTTGATGGCTTTATGAGGGAACCAAGTTCTTTTTGTCGGGTCGATTAAGTCCTTTTGGCCAAAGTGAAGAGGTCACCCGGTTACCCCTTTGCCACATTGGCATTTTTTGACCAATTCCCCTAAACTGACTTTGAATTTTTCCAATCTGTTGACCAAACTTGCCTCATCACCAACTGTGCTCTGTTTGAGTTCATTAATTTGAGGAGTTGACGGAGGCTTCTTTGATGGCGATGCTTTTGACTAGCCCTCACTCCATCAAACCCTATTCATCGCAAAATCAAATCTCAAGGAAATTAGACCATGCTCTCGTTTGTCTCATTTGTCTAGCAGAAAACGTGAAAGGAAAAGGGCCAAGGCGGAGGGTGGGACAGAAATCGATTCAATCACGGTAGATACATCTAGTACGATGGGTAACTGAACTTCTCTAAATCAATCACGTAAAACTCAATAACTTATATCCTAATTTTCCAGAAGAATTAAGATGATTTCCTCGTCACATTTGGTTACCCATTTATGTTCTGGGTTTTTTGTTTTCGACCGGTAAGGTGGAGGGTGGGACAGAAACCGATATCCGGAGATCAAGCTTTTAAATCGACATTGTAGAGACTGAAAACGATAGCAATAGCTGTAGGGATTGTTCCAGTGACCTCTAGATTGTTGCCTTCCGGTCCGACCAGCAGGAATACAAAGGGGGAAAGAGGCAGATCGGTGATGGGAAGGCTGCAAAGACCGACAGAAGGAGGTAGGGAGGTCGATTTCCGGTGGCCTTCAACTTCGATTTGGCCATCGTCATGGCCGATCTGGTGTTTGAGGGTAGAAGCAGCTCACACATGGGTGTTTGTGGTGGTGTTGCTCGGCAGGAGGAAGAAGGGAGGGGCCCAAGTTTTGGGTATGTGGCACTCAAACCGGTTATAGCAAGTCAAGAGGACTAAAAAGACAGGTAGACCACGAGTTTGTTCCCTCATAAAGCCACTTAAAAATGTAAGTGACTAAAAGAGTTAGCCCTAAAAAGTTTATAAGGCGTATATGTCATTTTCTCTGTTATAAAATGATCGAGTTTGGTTTGTGTAGGTTATTTTTGTCATAACTTGAACTTGTTAGTTCAAATTCTATATATATATATATATATATATATATATATATATATATATATATATATATATATATATATATATATATATATACACACGTATATTCATGGATAACAGTAATACTCCTGTATAACAAACATTTTGCCTATACGTGATTCGTAAGTAGACTTATTAGTTAATAATCAATAATACCGTGGAAACAATGTTGTAATCTATATCTTATCATCACAAAAAAATGCAGAACCCGGAAAACAAAATCAAAACTTCAACAACAATATGAAATAAAAATACAAATATATATTTAATAATGGAAAACATAAGCATTAAACTCCACGACGGCGTCACCATTGCTCATGTTAAAAGTATGAGTTCTTGCTTCTGCATATCCACGTGCAAACCGGAAAAGCCCACTTCCTCCGATGACAGGCATCTCTCTCACCGTTGACATCACCGGATTCCGGCCAACTATACACAAAGTGCTACCATTATACTTTCCTTCTACAAATACGTAGTTCATAACCATCAACAAACCCATTTCGTTTATGCTCGCGGATGTATACATCCCTTGTGCTCTACCCACCAACCTCGAGTTCCTTTCAGGGCCGATCGTCAAAGGGTTGTCGATCATGCTGATGTCACCAAAACCAGTGGCGGCAGTGCGGTTGGTTCTGGTGGCTTCAACGATCCTGATGGCGGTGGCGTTGGGGCCGCTAACTATGTCATGGAAGTAGAAACGAAAATGGCTCAGTTTCTCTTTTCTCAAACCTAAAGATAGTTGTGACAGGTTTCTTGAAAACTTCTGGGATTCGACTGTGAGAAAGAAAGATACGAGAAGAACAGAAAAGATAACTGAAACAGATTTCGATACAGAAGTAGCCATTGTTGGAAGAGATTGGGAAGAATGGAAGAGTTGGTGAGTTATGCTTGTTGAGGTTGATGCTTATATAGAATGGGAAAAGGTTCTGGATTATTTTTTGGGTCTGAAATCAACTTTGGAAAATTTTGCATTCAAATATTTCCGCGTCTACGGGAATGAGTCGTCTTCAATTTGTTACTATTTATTTATTTATTTGTCGTGGATGATGGTTGAAAAAGATCGAAGTATTGACATATTATATTTAGTTGAATGGTTTCTTTTTAATTATAAATAAAAGATGGAGATTATAATTTATTAATCATTAATCATTATAATACAATAGTAATAATTTTTTATTTAAAATAATATATGTACGTTCGATGGTACACATATTTTGACTTGCATTAGTTAAATAATACTGACCGTACGTTCTCATATCACTTTTGGTACTCTAGGGAGGTAGTTCTAGAGTGGAGAATTGTTGGCGTTGTTTTTGCCTTTTTAGTCGTTTGATCAAATTACCAATGGAAAATCACTTATCAAGGTAATTAATTTTTCGGTATGTTCAGACCCAACTATCTTTTTTCTTGTATACATTTAGGTAACCAACTTGTTGGAAGTGTTCACATATTACCATTATGACCTACTGTAGCAGGTTACATCCTAGATGTGAACACTTTTGACAAGTTCGTTACCTAGATGTGTAAAAAAAAATAGTTACCTAAATATGAACAAAACGAAAAGTAAGAGTAAATTACACGAATGGTCCCTGTGGTTTGGAGGAATTTATGTTTTTGGTCCCTAACTTATTTTTTTAACTCGGATGGTCCCTACTATTTATTTTTATTACGCGTTTGGTCCCTTTTTTTACCTAAAAAGACTATTGTGCCCTTATTAATTAATTTTTTAATTAATTTTCTTATTTATGTATGGGTAAATTACACGAATGGTCCCTATGGTTTGGGGTAATCTGCGCATTTGGTCCCTAACTTAAATTTTTAACTCGGACCATCCCTAATATACATTTTTGTTGCGTCACAGGTCCCTACTAGACATAAAAAGACAGTTTTACCCTTATAATTCTATTTTCGAATTTATTATAATATTCGTTATTTATAAAAAACCATTTATTAAAAAAGTCCATGTTCCACCACCCAAACACAATCCTTTTACTCCAACGGATCATCGACACCCAAACTTCCCTCTCTAAAATCCATCCATGTTGGCGGCGTCCGCCTTTCTTTCTGCCACAACTATCGTCATCCACCCTCTCTACCGCCACCGACAACCGACAGTCATCCCTCACCTCTCTTCCAAACTTCGACCGTTCCCTCAATCTCCCCTGAAATACCACCCTCTCCTCTATTAGCCCTTCACCCCACAATATTTAACCCATCTACCCTTCTTGTTCAAAGATTCAACTAGAATCGTAATCACCACCACCCACATCCTACTCACCTCTACAATCAGCAACAACCACCGTACACAGCACTAGAAACCACCACCACGAGAACCAAATCAAAATCAAATCAAAGACAAAGCTGATAATCAAACTTGAAATCAAAGCTGAAAACAAATTAAACCTGAAATTAAAGTTCAATACCAACCCATAATAAAATGTGAAATCAAAGTGCAAAACCAAACCATAATAAAATGTGAAATCAAAGTGCAAAACCAAACCATAATAAATCTGAAATCTGGTAACATGGTTAGGGATGCAATCGAAGTGGCGATGAGAAAAACAGAGAGTTGTCAATGAATTTTCGACAACTAATTTCTATGATACCGGTTTACAAATGATTCCAAAATCCAAATTCCAAAATCAAAGCAAAATCAAATTTGAGGAACCTACCACCGATATGTGAAATCGAAACTAAAAATCATATGAAGGGTTCTGAAACGAAAATCAAATTCTTGATAACATCGATTTCAAAATCGTTAACGATTGGCTGTAGCTCTCCATTTTTGTTTTTTACCTCAACGTCATAGTGGTGACCTGGGATTAATGGTGGTGGCGGTCGGATGTGGTTTTCCAGAACACAAGGTCAAGGAGTGGACGAGGGGCTGGGGATCTGATTGGCTCATAGACCTGCAAATTTGTGTTAATAGCTTCCAATAGAGAAGAAGAAAGGGAGCAGGGCCATCTGAAAAGTGGCGCCGAAAAAAGGGTTTGGGTAGAGACATTAAAGAAGAGTTAGGGCGAGTTGGGATAAAATGAAGAGGGTTCTTTTTTTTTTTTTTTTTCTTTTTGATTTAAAAATGATAAAAAAAATAATAAAAAAATTTAAAAAGAAATATATAAGGGCATAATAGTCTTTTTACGTCACTGAAGGACCAACGACGCAACAAAACCAAAGCATAGGGATTGTCCGGGTTAAAAAAAGTTGTTAGGGACCAAACGTGCAGATTACCCCAAACCACAGGGACCATTCATGTAATTTACCCTTTATGTATTTATTCTTTATATATTTAAAAAAATTAATAGACCCTACGAGTTAAAAAAATAAGTTAGGTAAGACAGGGACCAAACGTGCAACAAAAATAAACATTATGGACCATCCAAGTTAAAAAAATAAGTTAGGAACCAAAAACACAAATTCCCCCAAACCATAGGGACCATTCGCGTAATTTACTCTTACTTTTCGTTTTGTTCATATTTGGGTAACTACTTTTTTTGTACACATCTAGGTAACGAACTTGTTGAAAGTGTTCACATCTAGGATTTAACCTGCTACAGCAGGTCATAATGGTCATATGTGAACACTTCCAACAAATTTGTTACCTAGATGTGTACAAAAAAAAGATAGTTACCCAGATGTGAACATACCGAAAAGTTAATTACCTTGATAAGTCATTTTACCAATTACTAATCTAAAATAGCTATCAAAATTGTAGGTTATTTTTTTTGAACCATAAATTTATCTTACTCCTATTTCTAATACCATCTATGTCTTGGACTTGAACCCTCAACCTTAAGAACGGAAACAACACCTGATACCGTTAAACTAAATGCCATTTGTTTCACTTATGATCTAATGTTTCACTTATGATCTAATGTTTCAGCTCTTATACTTAAGGATTTTTTTTCATAATTCAATATGAAACCGTAAACTATTTTATAGTCTACGGTTTCCTTTGAATGGTCTATTGTTTCCCAAACCGTAGAACTTAAAATGGTCTACTGTTTCGTCTAAAAAACTACATTTTGTTTTTTTGGGGGGTATTTGACTATTATTTGTAAAAAAATAACAACATTAAGTTTATATTACATTGTATACAAGCTACAAAAAAAAAAAAAAAGTGTGCATTGAAAGCTTGTACATCATAAGTTTCTTACGAACCTACAGTTTTATTTGTTTTTATTTCCAAAAAAATCGCATCTTTCAAATCTTCTACTAAAAAAAGAAAAACAAAAAACAAAAGTTCAAGATTCGGAGACACATCTGGTTGTTCCTTGAAAGGTCCATCGAGAGAATTTCAAATTTTAAACATACACAAAATGAGCAAAACTAAAAATTACAACTTTATATATTATGGGCCAACGGGTCCTAAAAGAGTAGACGACTCACCAAACAGTAGCCCATTGCCCCCAAAGAGTAGTCAATCGAGCGTTGACCGTAGTCAACACATCGTTGACCGTAGACTAACTTAATGAGCTACGGTTTTAAAGGCGAGTTTGGGATAAATGTTAATTTTTAGCTAAAAACTAATAAGTAATTAAGGATTTTGGTAGTTTTGTAATTACCTCAACTTATTATTCATTTGTTTGATTTGGACAATAATTCCTTTTAGAGTTATTAACTATAATAACCATTTTTAAAACGAGTATATTACCCGAGATCCATTTGTTTTATCATATGTTAATACGTGTTTGGCACAAAGCGTTTGAAAGTTCCTAACTTTTATTTTTTGACAAAACGCTTCGTTTTAAACAAAAAGTCTCGTTTAACTATAATTTTTTTAAGGTTTAGTTTAAACAAAACACTTCAAATCTAAAAGTTGTTTTATGTAGCGTAAAACGTTACTAGCTGCCAACCACCCGCTACCAGCTAATTTTGTTGAACATGCCCATAATCACCTTTCATACTACGTTGACTTGAAATTCGTAAGTGGACCTGATCCCATACGACTCCTATCATCATATTTATCAGTTGCCTCCTCAACCATGCTACTTCTCCCTTCACGCTCCTTCAACCTCAACATTTCAACACTACCACTTCTCTCCCGTTAACACTACAACCTCTCTCAATGGCTATTAAATATTAAAGATGGTATACATCCAATCAAAAGCAAACTCACTGAAATAAAACTTGTAATCTATAGTGTCGTTGATGACAAAGGTCGACAACGGTCTTCGCCGACCTTGCTTTGACAACCTCCATTAGTGATGATGAAATCGATGTTGATCACGTGATGAAACCAAAGATGACGTCTTGATATTTGGTGAAATCAACATGACGGTTCGCCGGACGTTGATGTTCACCGGATGTAGATGCGTTAAGGTGGTGGTCGTAGGATTGGGGATGAGAATTTCATGTAGGGTTAGAGAGAGGAGAGTTATGGGAAAGTGACAAATGGTTGATTGGTGGGCCACATTTGCTTTTTCTAAATTTTCATATAAATAAAACATTAAGTTAAGTGAAAATTAAATACGTAAGGGTATTATAATCTTTTTGCATCTATGGAAAACCAAAGAAACAACAAAAGCATATCATGAGGACTGTCCGAGTTAAAAAAATGAGTTAGAAACCAAACACATAAATTGTCCCAAACTATAAGGACTATTCGTGTAATTTACTCTAAATTCTATAATTTTGATCAATCTTGCAGGGAAGCTTCCTTTCATGGGGTCTTACTTTAATACTTTATTTCAGACTCGTTTAGAGGGATTAGGTGAGGAATTATAGATGGATAATATATAGACTTTCTCCTTTTGTTTTTGTGGACTTTAACAGGAGAAAATCGGATCCAAGCACATGAATGAATGAGCTAAAAGACTAAAACAACGATGATGTATATAAGTA